AAAGGTGAAGTATTCTGTGAGGTGCCTGCATTCGTGGTTCCCTCGAAGGAGGAACAACGTTTTGGGATGATTTATCTTTAAACTCCATAAATACAGCACGCACTGCAAGAAAGGGAAGGAGGAGATGGCATGTAATAAAAACCTTTTATAGGGCACTAATCATCCATAGACTTCACTAAGTGTTTCTGGGAAGACACCCAACAAGCTGAATTCAAAGTAGAACCCTGATAGAAACCCAGCTCCATAATCGGCAGTAGATCTTATCTTGGCCAACTTCACCAGTGGAGGAAAGTCACACCGAGCATTTCTCTATATTAGGCCTGAGTTGGAGAAGTGACAAATGAGACTGCATTCAACTGAAACCAGCTCTGGGCTGGGTGGGGGAAGCTTTTTTCCTTCCAACAGAAAACCAAAGTTAAAAAAGCACCCCCATTTTCAGAGCAGCAAAGCAAAACCAGCTGCGTGGCGAGATGTGCGCTCCAGATGTCCCACTGCAATGGAAACCAGAGACCATGGAGTAGAGCAGCCAGCCACCTTCCTAAACATTTTATCAAATGCATTAAACATCAGAAAAATTCAGCTGGATCTTCCCCACTGAGGGGGGGATCTTCCCCTCCTCACCCCCCTCCACCCCCAGCTCTTTTTTTGCTTACACTACAGTCGTGTGAAGTTCAAGTTCAAAACAGGAAAAGCCTGGCCAAAAAAAAAAAAAAACCCAAGCTTAGTAAAACCTTCTGGCTCTGAAGAGAGCTTTCCACATCCCCTCTCTCTGAGCAACACCACCTGTAAAAAGATCACCTTTGATGAGGTGCAAAGTCAAACTGAAACAATCATTTTCAGCAGGCTCCCAGAAATATTTTGTGGTGACTTTCCAAAAGAGGTTGTGTGAAGAAGGGAAGGGCTGAAAAACAAGCGTGTTTACCCCTCTGTGCTATCTACACACAAGCCTCTCAAAATACTTCTGCACACACTTAACACAGTGAGTCAATTAGTAATTCCTCTAAAATCAGTAAAGTTTCCATTGTTCACCTGCTTTTCATTATATTTCATTATCTTTATTTCATTATCTATATTACCATTAAAAATAGATATATAAATATACATAATAAACAAGTAGAGAATTATTCCTGAGGACTCCTGACAGCTCAATCAGCTGGTATCTAGTATGAGGGAAAACTTTATCACATTTCCCTTGTTGATTTTGAGTGCTGGAAGGACAACCCATAATGACAGCAAGCTTGAAGATCTGGATTAAAATCTCTAATAAGAGCTTACCCTTTAGGCTGACAGAAACAGCACAGACTTTGAGAACGTGAAGTGTGTCAACAGTTTTACACACTTTAAAATAGCGCTGATCTGGTGCACACATCTTTGAGAACCAGTTGCTGTGGCATAAAAACAACTTCCAGAACCAAAATAAACCAGTTTGAAGTTCTAGTTTTCAGTGCAGACACTTTAGAGATCATGGTATTTAAGCACTGAACCTGCAAGGTAAGCTCTGTATTAGTCATACCAGCTTCATGCAGGGATTCCTAAAACCCCAAGGAGCTGTAAAGCACCCATCTGTGTCTCAGAATTCAACCCCACAGAGGAAAAAAAAATATAGCAAATAGCAATTTCTAAAGATATAACAAATTCTGAATTTTAAAACCAAACAGAAACAGGGCCAGTGGCAGGTAATTTAAGCTGTGGTTAAGGTTAGCAAAAATAATGTTTTATTGCATCCCTTAAGAGGAGGAATGTTCCCAACAAAACAATTTATAATTATTCTGTGATTTAAAGCTTTAACCTCCTGTGTTTATAAGTTAAACGTCACTTTTCTGGGCTAGAATGAGAACTGGAAAGTGCCAGGCACTATAAATGAACTCAATGACTGAAAGCAACCAGCCCTGGCATCACCTGTTCAAAGCAAAGCAAGAAAGCAGAGACATCCCATCAATAAAGTGGAGGATTTGGGATGTATAGAGGGTCAGCAACTTGCAGAAGAGATGTTTAAAAAATAGATTTCAAGTGTTTTAAAATGAAATGGAAGCAAAAGGAGTCACTTGGCACCACAATTGTTCCTGGACACACAGCAAGTGAAGCACAGCCGTCGAGAGGGAACGTTTCCAGTGGCGCTGCAGCTCCCCGTGGTTGCACAGGGACGTGGGGGCTGCCAGGCACTAGTGGGGTAACGCTGAGGAAAGGACATTTAACAGCCCTGAACAAGGAACCAGGGAGGTTTCTACACTCACATGCCTCAGATGCTTCTTGGCATTTCGTACAGATCCCTTTCCCAGACTTTCAAGGCAGCGTGCCCAGGAATTGATTACTGAGTGTTTACAATAGCCCAGTAGCAACTCCAGACAATCGTGACTTACTAGGCTGAAATAATCGACTTCTCTCTTTATTCACAGAATCCCAGACTGGTTTGGGTTGGAAAGGACCTTAAAGCACATCCAGTCCCAACCCCCCTGCCAGCAGCAGGGACACCTTCCACTAGACCAGGTTGCTCAAAGCCTCATCCAACCTGGCCTTGAACACTTCCAGGGAGGAGCAGCCACAGCTTCTCTGGGCAACCTGTTCCAGTGTCTCACCACCCTCACAGCCAAGAATTTCTTCCTCATATCTCACCTAAACCTCCCCTCTGCCAGTTTAAAGCCATTTCCCCTTTGTTTTGCAAAGGTTATTTGGGCTGCTAACAAGCAACACAGCTTACCTTAACACCTCCTCGCCCCCCAGTTTTGCATCTTGTTTCCTGATTGCCTGCATCAGGATGCAATTATACAATTACCTCCTATTTCATTCAGTTAAAAGGTCATGATTATCAGTTGCTCTGGACAGACACTCCATAATATTCCTCCACCACCCAGCACATGGATGCACAAGTTTGTGTGGTGACTCATAAAAGTCTGATGGTGCTGGCTCTCTTCACATTCCCAGTGGTGAAAACACAGGGAAACCTGGATGCTTTTCCATCACCTCAACCTCTGGGATAAAGCAATTAAAAATCCAAACCCAAAATGTTCACAGATCAGCCAGCTCTGCACTTCAGAATCCAGCTTTGCATGTCACAGAAGTCTTTTAAAAAATAAATATATATA